ATCTGACTATGCAATTTTTGATGCTAATTTTTTGCTGAACTTGTGCTGCATCTTAAAAGGATGATAAATAGATGATGACCCTTGGTTGCAGGGCTCATCGGCTATGCCTTATTATACTAAAGATACAAGACTGAGGTTCAGGGGGGGAAAATCCAGCTTTAAAAAAAGTATTATTGCCCAAATTCATGCTTATTAATCAATTAGATGTATTCATAACTTTTCTAACTGTGTACAGTGCAAAAAAGCTATTTTAGATAAATCGTAGTATAAATCCCAAAAAATGTTAAGGTCAAGATTTCTATTTAAAAGTTACTCATTTGTATTTGAAGTTGGATCTAGTATGAAAAGAAAGAATATGATGTTTCACTTTTATTTAGAGAAAGGCTTGAAGACGAAATGTGAACTATAGTCATCCTAGTTTGCATAAGGTGATAGAAAAATTTTCCCACAATAATATGAATGGGCCTCTTGCTTACGTTGAATTCCACGTAGCCTTGCTTCTTAAAAGGTAGTCTCATCAACTAATTTACTTATATGCATTGAAAGTAGGTTTCAAGCTATCCATATATTTTGAATAAGGGTTTTAGTCACCCTATGACACCTAGATCCTAGTTAATGGAGGGCTGATAGTTAAATTTCTCCACAATTATTTAAGGTCTAAAATTTGGTTGCTGTGATTTTTTCACAAAATCAGAGCTTATCTTCACATTTTTGTATACAGCTTTGGTACTAGGGCATGAGGCAATCTTGGGATAATTCGTTTATAAGCAGGTTTTCGTAACTACTATTAGATTATATATAATAGCTGTATTCACCCTATTTCGTTAAAGTGAAAAAGTACTGTTAGTTGAATTTTCTCAAAATAATATAAGTATAGAAGTGAGTTGACCTCGTTGTCGCAACTTGTTCTTGTTGTCAAGGCGACTTTGTAGAATGCATCTAGTCCAAAGTCGTCTGTCATAGTAGTTGTCATGATTGCCAGCATCTGACAGTGGATTTAAAACATTCTCATTTGTGTGCCCTTTTGTGGCAAACCGAGTGTTGCCTCATCACACTTGCTATTTACCCCGACCCCTCTCTTTCGAATGTTAACCCACTTCTATAAATCGAAAGGAGACTGCGACCATAACAGAGGCCACAACATCTTGGTCTTCATATATTCCATATAAGTATACCATACGTTTAGAATGAATTGCACATAGCCTTTTTTTCCCAATAGTTATTCTCATCTAAAAAGAAGTGAACTGCCATTTCGACCTCAAGTCCTGCTGGGGATGTTGAGAAGACATAAGCGAGACGAAAAGGCGGTTTAATCCAGCCTGGATGAGAATAGCATTTGGGAAACAAGGCTATGTGAAATTAAATGGAAACCTAAGGCCTACTCGTATCATTGAGGGAAAATTCAACTACCATTCCTTCATTACCATAAACGAAATAGGGCGAATACATTTATCACAATTCAGGGCTTGTCTACGGTCAAACAAAATTCCATAATAGTTTTTATCCGACCAAAAATGATAATATTTAATTGTCGTTCAATAGTAACTCTGATATGCATTCAAAAGTTCAAAGTATGCGTCCTGGGTTGGTATCAGGCTGGGGATGATGTAGATGGCTTGATGAGGTGTGAAATGCTCTTTACTATGCATTAGAATACAATTTTGTGTAAATTTTAAGGCTAAACCTATAATTTTTTGCCTAAATTTATCGTGGACAGGCATAGTAATAAGCTAATGAACACCATATTGCCTATCGTCTAACTCATCTGATCTAAATTCATCAACATGTCCAGGCCTGTAAACATGTCATCGTATGATTCATATCTAGTCAAATTATCAGTATTGCGAATTAATTTTATAATGGCCAATGTAAATTTCTTACAACACTTAGCCTAGGTTAATGACGATAAGTATTTGCACAAAGCGTATTCTCATATAGATATTAAATGTTATAAACTTTTTAATCGGAATGGATAAACAATTTAACTAGTGGAAAGTGCAGAATAAACGAGCAAATTAGCCATTTAAGTAATATTAATAGTATGGAATGAAATTTGCTGCACCATCTCCGCTGATGGGGACAGGCTTTTTCTACTAATTCAAACGAAAAAGATTATCTTCGAATCTCCAAGCAACATGTTCCCCATAGAACTCAATGATC